TTTTTTTTAGGCAGAAGTTACCATTCTACTATTCAACAAGTAGAACGAAGGTCCATTTGTCGTAGCTTCTTTTTCTGCTTACCATATGTGATGGGCAACCAAACGACTGCTATCGCTGGTACCTTCTGCTTGAAAAAGAAAAGAAATATAAAGAGAAACTATAATAAACTCACATGTTATCCTCCACCTGCAAAATAGCTGTTCCAGTTTCCCCCGCCCGAAATTTGAAGACGTCGGCCCGCTGCTCATTTGTCTGTTTTGTAACCTTGTGTTAGAAATCGACTATACAAGCTAAAACACAACAGTATCTATTTCATAAGCTTTTAAGGTTTTCAAGAGATTAAGAAGATAGTTTAACAATAATTTAGCTAAATAATAGTCTATGGGCAACACAAAGCTAGTAATAGAATTTTTCTAAAGCTTGCAAAACTCCCTCAGATTACTTCTTTGACAATTTCTGACCTGCACCTTTACAGCTTTAAATGCTCCTTTTCGTTATGATTCTGAAACAAAGTAGACAGCTTTCTTTATTGGAATTTAGTGAATACACGATTACAATATGGAAACCCCATGTAATCTAGGGCAATGCAGAGGTGCCTTAGTGACAACCGAAAATTGCATCATTCAACATACACCACTCTTGCCCTTACTTTATGCACAGACTTAGTTAGAACAACACATTTCAGCGTCTGGTTGTCCTAGTCGAGTGAGAAACACCTCGCGTCCTTATGATCAAATGTCCTGTGAGCATTATAGAGTAAAAGTTAGGGCCTTCAGTAGCGATGCGCCTTGAGCTCGACAAGTGTGAACAGCGAAAGAAAGTCAAGAAAAGCTACCTCCACAAAGGCAACCACAAATGTACCTAGAGATTCAATGACACTCCGATTAGCCACTGTAAGTGTCGGGACCTTCATCGAGCAGCATCTTAGCATCAGCTGGCAGATCTACTAAAGGCCGTTAGAATTGTATACAATGAAGAATGAAAGCGCGAAATTGCGCAATATTGGAGATGTTACAAGATTCCCTATAATTGTATTAGCTGCAGTCATGATCAGCATTAAGTTCCGAATCATCATCAGCAGCGATGACTCGGAACTTGAAGTTTTTTTTATGAGGATTTGAAGGAAGCCCTTAAATAGAAGTTCTTCAAATCTGTCATGGGTGACTTCAATGCGAAAATGGGATGTCAGAAGAAGGGGAGCATAGGATTGAGAGATCTGGATTAGGATTTTTCGTAATGAGAATGATAACCGTCTTGTTGGGCTCTTATCCGCCGCACGACTTTTTCATGGCAACTTCGTCTTAGGAAAAACACCGGCTTTGGACATGAGAGTCACCCAACGGTACGACTCATGCGGTGCCATCCTTCAACAGTGCTTTAAATCACCGCCTCCTTGAGCATAAGTGCGGAATGCTGGAAAAGATTTGTCACGGGTTGGAGGAAGGAAAGAAGTCGTATATAATGGCGTCAGATTGGAGAGCTTCATACCATTTGCAACTGGTCCATCGAGGAGGACCCAACAAAGAACTATGATCTGCTTCTCAGAGGACTAAGAGACTGTGGTAAAAGTACCTCAATGCTTCGAACAAGAAACTTGTAACGAGATTTGAAAGCCGCCAGGATCTGCTGGAAAGAAGGAGAGCACTGAAGCTGGATCCGACTGCATTACATCTCGAGCGACCCTCTACGTCGACTATGAGAAAGCGTTTGTTTGTCGAGACCAATGCCATACTGTCAGCGCTCGTTGACCAAGGGGTGGATCCATCTTACGTGAGGATATTGGCCGACCGGTACAAGAACTCTACAACGGTGATTTCAAAGGGGGTTAGACAAGGCGACACCGTGCCGCCAAAGGTAATTACCACCGCTTTGCAGCGGATGATTCACTGGATTGGAACGAGAGAGGTATACGAGTTGATAGGAGATTCCCCTCAAACCTCCGTTTCGCGGACGACATTGTTCTTTTCTCGAGGAATATCACTGAAGCGGAGACGGTGTTGAGAACTAAATGAAGGAGGGAAGCGATAAGACTGCGAAACAACCGGAAGAAGACTCAGTTTTTGAAGGACGCTTTTGCGAGGATCAGGAAAAGGAGTTAGAAGGCTCTCCAATCACGGAGACGTCTTCTTACGTATATGGGCGTTCGATGAACATGGAGGACGATCTGAAAGAAGAACTAAGCAGGAGGTGAAAAGCAGTTTGGGTCACCTTCGGGCCCTCAAAGGAAGCCACAGACCATCTGACGGACTTAGAGCTCCTAGCCCACCTGTTCGATTCAGCCGTTCTCCTGCGTTCTATTACGCAACAGAGGCGTGACCTGACACTGTGGCTGCATCGAAGGCATTCTGAACAACACACGGAGCGCTGGAACGACGTCCGAAGTGCAACAGACGCACTCAACATCTCGTCGGACTTCGCAGTTCAGATGTGAGATTAAGGTCTGGTCTTCGTGATCCGTAATATGTCTCCATGGCAAAACATTGATGGGACGGGCATGTAATGAGAAGGACAGACGACAGATGGACATAAGACTGGAATGGATCCCTCGCGAGGCAAAACGTGTTGAGGGAGCCCACTGACCAGATGGACAACGCGTTCATTGTATGGATTCACCTGGATTCTCAGCTGGTAACGAGTAATGGATCTGGAATCGCGAAAATTGCCACCGCAGTTCAATACGAACATCGTAAATGAAGCTAGCGAGAGACAAAGGGATGGAAACAATGCTGGGGCCTACGAGTAAAGACAGACCGTTTGAGTATCTAAGTATATAAGTATCTCAGAGAACTGAAAAAACAAGATTACTGGGGTTGATTGATTAGATGAACAACTTGTGACATAAAAATGATAGTGGGAAAAAGCTCCTCATTATCAGTGCAGCACAAGTCGGATGCAAGGAACAAAAAAAGGATGTCTGAAGGAACTTGATGAACACATTGCACAGGATGAGGTGCGTTGCTTGGATCGCAACTATTATGCAGGAGAAGACGAAATGCAAAGGGAATTGTTACGGGCTATGGGTGCAGGACATGCAATGAGTGAAGAAGGCGTACGCATGTTCTAGTTCGCTGCAGCTTACGAATCTGCGCCGGCGAGGGTGTACTTTATTGGGAAGCACTCGAATACAAAAAGATTATTGCGCGGTGTCACAATGGTCAAGTAATACTGCAAATTGATCCCGGCGAAAGCTGCTTATCTTACTCAAGCTTCTACTTTGAAATTTGAAAATTTCGGTTGGCCCTAAACAGTTATCTAAAGTCAATGCCTGAAAAGATTGCAAAAACGTTTGCAGTCAATGGGGTGGCACTCGCGCGAAAAGTTCGAAAATAAGCCTAGCTTTTCTGCAGTTGTGAGGGGTATATGTAAGTGTTTTCCTTACATTTCTTCCCCTTTTTTTTGTGAAAGGTACCAGCGAGCTACTGAAGCAGATTTCTTAAACGCGAATTGCATAAACTACGAGGAATAAAAAAACGGATTATCTAAGAGCAAATGGTCCACTCATTCTACTTATCATGAGGTAGGCAACTGAACACTTGCTTGAGTAGTCAGCTGATACCTTCTACCTGAAAAAGGAAAAAAACTGTAAAAACTTATATGCGGCCCTTCACGGCTAAAGAATCAGCTGGTTCTTGGTGCACTCGAAACTAAGGGCGTGGCGCGCCGCACCCATGTCTGCAAGCGTTTTTGTATCTTGTTTTAGGAATGGACTATAACACAGTGAACGCATCAAACAGTGATAGTTGAAGCTAGGTTTTTTTTTGGCTAATGAAGTACTGACTAACTACACTTACTTGGAAGACTAGAGCAAGTGGCAAGTATGGTAGTCTTAAACATATGTCACTTGTACAGCAAGAATTTTGAATACTAGAAAAGTGCAATTTATGAAGTTTGACAGTGGGTTTGAACTACAAACGCTGATAAATCACGATTTATGCGTACAAGCATGATAAAGTGAGACAAAGTGATATACGTTTAAAGAGGGTGCATCTTGCTCGTTCATCTTGTTCAATTGTGCTACCAAAAGCGCAGCGTGCCAAATGATCAAGTGTTAATCGCTAACCAAAACTCACAACTAGCCACAACCGTTTCACTTTGTGAGGCCACCTTCTTTCGGTTCGATAAAGCAGTTTATCTCCTACAAATACTTCTTCTTCTCTCTCTTTGCCTTTTTGTTAACAGATTATTTGCCGCTACGGTTTCTAATAGGCGTCGCTTTAGATCTCATCTTTGATACAAGTTTCACTTGACCTTATTTGAATATAAGAACGTTGTGAATTATTGCATGAGTAGTCCTCAATAAGGAATTCCATTTGCTCACATTTAAGGTGATAGTTAATTGACGCTCATTTATTCTTCCCTCAAAACCAGTCCTTTTGATTATCTTTCATAAATTTCACGATCCCTAATTTGCTTAGTAGTTGTCCTGAGGTATAAGTATATTAAATCATGTGGATTTTGTTTGTTGGGTGCCTTTTACAATGATGCAGTCAGTCAATCAGAATAATATGATAGGCCTAGATCTCCATTACCAGTATATCCCTGTTTGCAGAGATTTCGCACGACACATATGTAACTTATCAGCAGTACGAATTTTCTCAACTACCTATTGATTGAACTAGGAGGTATCGTTCTGTAGGCTGTAGGTGGCATCAGCGGCGGCGACAGGCCTTGTTTGTCATCACAAACCTGTTCGCGTGTGTGTGCTGTCTCATACGCAAACCATTCGTCACTAAGCACCTGTCCATACCGATCGCCCATCGATTCTAAGCTTCGTCGAATGAGTCTTTCAAAACTAATTTTCTCCAAATTTAAAACTTACAAGTTCTCTGTTTTAGTGTCGAAGGCTGCAGTGGTGAAAATTCTTATGAGTTGGTGCTGAACAGGACTTTTTTAAGTTGCAAAAGAGTACCGTTTTTTTCTGTAGATTGTTTTTGTCGTAGTTTTTGTTTGAAATGAGAGTTTCGTGTACTTTAGAGGAAAAAACTTTTTTAGAACGCACTAGATTTTGATTAAGAAATGACTGTTCAGTTTTTATTATCGAATAGCTGACCCTTATGTTTCATTCGACGCTCTACTGAGTCTCATCGTTTTTTTT